TGTTTTTTTCTTCTTTTTTTTTTTAAGGTGCACTTTTAAAAGGGATTGTTTTTTACTTTTCCTTTCTGATATTTTATTAGTGTAAAGAAATTCAACAGATTTATGTATGTTAATCTTGTATCCTGCTACATAGCTGAATTCGTTTATAAGTTCTAGTAGTTTTTTGTGTGGAGTCCATAGAGTTTATACATACAGTATCAAGTCATTTGCATATAATGTCAATTTTACCTCTTCACTTCCACTTTGGATATCTTTTATTTCTTTTTCTTGTCTGATTGCTGTGGCTGGGACTTCCAATACTATGTTGAATAGAAGTGATAAGAGTGGGCATCCTTGTCTTGTTCCACATTTTAGCAGGAAGGCTTTCAGCTTTTCACTGTTGAGTATTATATTGGCTTTGGGTTTGTCATAAATAGCATTTATTATCCTGAAATATGTTCCCTCTATGCCCACTTTTGTAAGAGTTTATATCATAAATGGATGTTGCATTTTATCAAATGCTTTTTCTGCATCATTTTAAATGATCATGTGGTTTTTGTCTTTTGTTGATGTGGTGTATCACATTGATTGATTTTGTGTATGTTGAACCATCCTGTGACCCTGGTATGACTCCAACTTGATCATGGTATATAATCCTTTTTATGTGTTGTTGCATTCAGTTTGCTAATACTTGGTTGAGGATTTTTGCATGTATGTTCATCAAAGATACTGGCCTGTAATTTCTTTTTTGGTAGTGTCTTTGTCTGGTTTTGGTATCAGGGTGATGGTAGCTTCATAGAATGACTTTGGGAGTGTCCCTCCCCTTCAATCTTTTGGAAGAGTTTGAGAAGGCTTGGTATAAGTTCTTCTTCTTTGTATGTTTCATAGAATTCCCCAGTGAAGCCATTTGGCCCTGGGCTTTTGTTTGCAGGGAGTTTTTAAAATTACAGATTCTATTTCACTTCTAGTGATTAGTCTGTTCAAATTACCTATTTCTTCTTGATTCAGTTTTGGCAGGCTGTATATTTCTAGAAACTTGTCCATTTCTTCTAGGTTGTCCAATTTGTTGGTATATAGTTGTTCATAGTATTTTCTTATTGTTTTTTGTATTTCTGAGGTATTGGTTGTTATTTCTCCTCTTTCATTTCATATTTTGTTTATTTGGGTCCTCTCTCTTTTCTTGGTGAGCCTTCTCAGAGGTTTTTCAACGTTGTTTATGCTTTCAAAAACTGGCTCTTGGTTTTATTGATTTTTTTCTATTTTTAAAAAATCTCTATTTGTTTCCTCTCTGATCTTTATTATTTCCTACCTTTTGCTGACTTTAAGTTTTGTATGTTTTTCTTTTTCTGATTATTTTAGGTGATAGGTTAATTCGTTTATTTGAGATTTTTCTTGTTTTTTTTTGAGGAAGGCCTTTATTGTTATGAACCTCCCTCTTAGGACGGCTTTTGCTGTATCACATAGATTTTTGTATCGTTGTGTTTTAATTGTCATTTGTCTCAAATATTTTTAATTTCCCTTTGATTTCATCATTGACCCACTGGTTTTTTACTAGCATGTTGTTTAGTCTCCATGTAATAACTTTTTTCTTGTTTCTCTTTCTGTGGTTGATTTCTAGTTTCATGCTACTGTGGTCAGAAAAGATGCTTGAAATAATTTCTATTCTTTTAAATTTGTTGAGGCTTGTTTTGTGTCCTAGTATGTGGCCTATCCTAGGGAATGTTCCATGTGTGCTTGAAGAATATGTGTATTCTGGTTTTTGGGGGGATGTAATGTCCTGAAAATATCAATTGAGTCTAACTGTTCTATTGTGTCATTTAGGATCCCTGTTGCTTTACTGATTTTTCTGTCTGGAAGATCTCTCCCTTGATGTCAGTGGATTGTTAAAGTCTCCTACGATTGTTGTATTCCTGTCAATAGCTCCCTTAGTCCATTAGTATTTGTTTTATGTATTTAAGTGCTCCTATATTGGGTGTATATATGTTAATAAGTATAATATCCTCTTCTTGTATTGATTCTTTTATATAGTGTCCTTCTTTTATGGCCTTGGTTTTAAAGTTTGTTTTTGTCTGATGTGAGTATTGCTACCCCTGCTTTCTTGTCATTTCCATTTGCATGAAATAACTTTTTCCATCCCTTCACTTTCAATCTATGTGGGTCTCTTATAGGTAGCATATTGTAGGCTCTTGTTTTATTATCCAATCTGTCACTCTGTCTTTTGATCAGAGCATTTAGTCCATTGACATTTAAGGTAATTATTGTTAGATATATATTTATTGCCATTTAAAATCTTGCTTTCCAATTGATTTTGTATTTCTTCTTTGTTCCTTTATTTTTCTTTTTGTTTTCCTTTTGTGGTTTGATGGTTTTCTTTTGTATTATGTTTGAGTTCTCTTTTTTTTTTGTTTTTTGTTTGTTTTTTTGTTTTTGTTTGCGGTACACGAGCCTCTCACTGCTGTGGCCTCTCCCGTTGTGGAGCACAGACTCTGGATGCGCAGGCTTAGCGGCCATGGCTCATGAGCCCAGCCGCTCTGCGGCATGTGGGATCTTCCTGGACTGGGGCATGAACCCATGTCCCCTGCATCGGCAGGCGGACTCTCAACCACTGCGCCACCAGGGAAGCCCTATTGTATGTTTTTGATTTGTGGTTACCCTGGTTTTCAAATATGTTAACCCATTATTGTATCTACTTTCTTTAGACTGGTAGTCATATAAGCTCAAAAACGGTCTAGAAAAAAACCTACATTTTCTTACTCCCCTCTCCCACATTTTATGATTTTTTTTTTTTTTTTGCGATACATGGGCCTCTCACTGTTGTGGCCTCTCCCATTGCGGAGCACAGGCTCCGGACGCGCAGTCCCAGTGGCCATGGCTTACGGGCCCAGCCGCTCCACGGTGTGTGGGATCTTCCCGGACCGGGGCACGAACCTGTGTCCCCTGCATTGGCAGGCGGACTCTCAACCACTGCGCCACCAGGGAAGCCCGAGGGAAGGGTTTTGAGTGACCAGTAGGACCGGGCTGCAGTGGGAGGGGCGTGGAGGGAAGAGGGTCACATGGCGTTGACCCAGGTCTGTGCTGTCTGGTCACTGGCTGCTCCACCTCCTCCTCTTCTTCCTCGTCCAGCTGTTAAGCAGCAACAGGCACCTGGGCTGGTGGCTAAGGACCATCCAAGGGAGGACTCTGTTTTCCTGGGACAGACTCACTGGGGGTAAGAAGGAGCTCCAAGAATGGGCATGTTTCACAGATGGGGAGACTGAGGCCAAGGGAGGGGTGGGTTACAGGTTCCAAAGGTGAGCTGGCTCCTGAGGCAGCCCTGGTTCCCCTTGCCCACCTGTCCACCCCTCAAGGCCCATAGCCCCTCTCATGAGCTCAGGGAGGCTGCCTGGAGGCAGAGTCTTTGAAGAGAGAAAGGAGGAAGCAGGGCCTGGGGAGACCTGTCCTGTGGACAGACGTGGCTCTGGACATACGCCTCCCTGACTGGACAGCCTGGGCATAGGGTACAGCCCCCAGGCAAGCTCATGGCCTGGTTCTTCCTTGGGAGAGCTCTGGCCTGAGGCTGGAGCTCAGGTCCCTCTGGAGATCATTTCTGACCCAAGGCTTTGAGGTTAGAGGGGTCTCATCCTGTCCTAGTTTTCAGTGGTGAGAGAGAGTTTTCCAGAACTTTTATGTTCGATTGGAAGAGGAAGTCAAACAGGCATAAACAGGCCACCAATTTTTTGTAGATTCCTTTATGTTGAAATAGTTATAAACTATTAACAAATGAATAATGAGAAAACAATTATCTGGTTAGCGTATTACTTATTATGTAACAATTAGTTCTGAGACAAAGTCCAATTCAAAACATATTACTGAGGATTCTATATTAGTTGATTTTAGAAATGGCATAATCCAAACCTATTTTTCCATAAATTATTATTTTTTTGGCCACACTGCATGGCTTTTGGGATCTTAGTTCCCCAACCAGGGATCGAACCCTCACCTTTGGCAGTGAAAGTGTGGATTCCTAACCACGGGACCTCCAGGGAATGCCCTCAAATAAATTTTCCTATGTAACCTCTAAAGAATTTTTCACTCCCATCATTTGGCTCTGGAAAACTTACAGGCAACAACATTTTTATATGAGAAAAAAAAATTAAGTACAGTTGTTGGGCACAGCTTAAAAGGGGTGATATGCACAAACTATAATAATTACAAATCAATACTTATTCAAACACATTTGAATTTAAAGCGTTCAAATAATCATAATCATTCAAATAATCAAATAATCTCGCACCATGCTTCGAGAATCATTTTTAACATCTCTTTTCCTTTCTAACGCACTATGGAAAAAATTCCTTTCTTATTTCTTCAGCAGTAAGAGCCTCAAAAATGTTGTTACAAACCTGGATTTACCTTGTCCTCTTGAGAAACAAGCTGAAGAGGTTTTTGGATATGGTTAAAAATATTATCCTAAGGGAAATATCCACAGAGAGAAGCCCTGTGTCTGTCTATAGGGCTTGGGGCTGGGCTGGGTGGTGGGTCCAGGAAAGTCCACACAACTATGGACAGGGGGTGACTCAGAGGGGCTCTAACCAGCGTTCTAATCATTGGAAGACCGGGGTTGAGAGGGGTGGCAGATCCTGAACGGCCCGAATCATTTTAAACTTGGCCCTACTTGATGGAACTCTTTGAGAAACAAGGATTTTTCTGGATAGTGTTTGTCCTTGAAACAAATGAATCACCTCATTCAGTGTTTCAAAAAAATTCACTGTCTCTTGGTTATAGGCTATCAACAGTTAGGCTATCTTAATGCATAGGGAATGCATTCTGGAAATGCTTTAACAAACTGTATCAGACAGCTTATGATAATGTCAATATCATTTATTAATTCAGTTGCTTTTTCCCATCTACTCTCTCTTTAGGCAAATTTTTTTTTTTTTTTTTTTTTGCGATACGCGGGCCTCTCACTGTTGTGGCCTCTCCCGTTGTGGAGCACAGGCTCCAGACGCACAGGCTCAGTGACCATGGCTCACGGGCCCAGCCGCTCCGCGGCATGTGGGATCCTCCTGGACCGGGGCACAAACCCGTGTCCCCTGCATCGGCAGGCGGACTCAACCACTGCACCACCAGGGAAGCCCCTAGGCAAAATTTGATTAACGAATTTTTACTACCCATCAGTCATCTGTTTTGGACTCAAACTGTCCATAATTGGCTGTGAAATACAGGTGTGTGTATCGATACATGTGATGTAACTATAAAGTCACATGTTGAATTGTTACAGGTGGAAATGAGTTCCGCAACTCCAGAGCTATATTGAATGAGACCTGTTTATACTTACCAACATTCACTCATAAAAAAAATATATATATATATGTGTATGTATATATATATATATATATATATATATATACATACACATATATATATAATCTTTCACCCTGTAGAATCCTTTCTTTCTAACATCTTTTCAGCCAGTCCTGCCAATCAGATAAGAAACACTACAAGATTGGGAGATAAAACCTTTTTAAAACAAGTTTCCTAATAGAAATTAATTTTTAAAAAGTCTACTTTTAAAGCAGCAGTTAGAAACTTTGTTTTTGTAACATGTCAGTAATACTGTTACATCAAATTGTGGATTTAAATAAGTTTAGCAGTTTCTTATCTCTTTAAAAAATAATACAGATTTCTGTGTTATTTAATGGCTTCTCCATTCTTCCAATTCCAAGGAATACAAAGGTCTCCATCCTGCATAACAGAGTAAAAATGTGAAATGCACAGGTGCATCCCTTGTAGATAAGGCAGTGATTGTTCTAGAAGTCTCTTACAACAATCCACCATTTGTATACTTGAAACGCTGGGCTCCTTATAAAACTTTTCCAGAGAAAATTTCTTCATGGAAGCCTGCATCAATTCGTTTTCAATGACTTTCAACCTGTTATGTTGAAAACAAACATCTGATTGCCACAAGCTATAACCAAATAAAAGAACATAAAATGTAAAAAATATTTTTGTATATTGGGCCATAACTTTCTACTCTCAACACTGAAAATGGTATCCACAAAGGCCAAATTATACGCTCAGAAGACTGTCCATAGGTATCTTGTAGCACCTATTATTACCACATGTATCTCTAAGTATTTGTTAAATCTTTTTACCAGTAATGGGGTAAAGATAATTAATACAATAATTTTTTTGGCTTTTTAAAAATTTTTATTTAAGTTTAACTTCTAATTAAAAAATGTTTTTAATTGAAGTATAGTTGATTTACAATGTTGTGCTGGCTTCTGGCGTACAGAGAAGTGGTTCAGTTATACATACATATATCTACTCTTTGTCAGATTCTTTTCCCTTATAGGTTACTACAAAATATTGAGTATGGTTCCGTGGGCTCTACAATAGGTCCTTGTTGTCTAATTAATGCGTAATTCAAAAGCCTCTTATCCCTTCTCCGGGAGCAGCTGTTGGTGACTGAGAAAAGCAGGAAGCTGAGAGCACCACCGGCAGCTTCAGGAGGCCCTACAGTCCAACCTTGACCCGGGCAGGAGCGACTTCTGGAGATTCCTGAAAAACCCCAGGACCAGAGGCTGGAGGAGGCCGCCCTCCCCACCAGGGCACAGGTTCTGTCTTCTGCCCGCCAAGGGTAAGACACAGGCGCTGAAAGTCAGGCAACCTGGAGAAGTCGTGCAGGGGCTGGAAGGACAGGACCCAGATGTTAGCTTAGAACAGTGGTCTTTAAACGGCTCAGCAAGCCGAGGGTGGTGCAGAGGTGCTCTGAGGGCCCTCGTGGGTATGGACGGCCTCCAGTTCCTTTTCCTCTTCAACTGGAGCACCTGCCAACCTTGATCTTTCTTTATCAATTGGGTTGCCACTTGAGAATCCACTTTATAAAGAGAGATGCAGCTCAAAGTGTCTGAAAACCACTGTCTCAGAACAGGCTTCATCTAAGGCAAGAAGGCTGTCTAACCAGCACTGAGTGGCTGCAATGCAGGCGGCCAGACTAGGGAGGGACCGCGGCGCAAGGAGAGGAGAGAAGGCAGCGGGGAGGGGAGACTCAGCCGGACCGGGGCAGACGGCTGTAGGGGGCCCAGGCCAAGGGGGCAGGCGGGACGGGACCAGCAGCAAATGGCTTCTTTACCCTCCGTGTTGGAGGGGACAGGGATGAAGGCTCCGGAGCCCAGAGCCAGAAGGAGACCAGGGAAGCATGAGCGTCAGTGGATCCAGTCGGTGAGTATTGACTGAAGCCTCCCATGTGCCAGGCCCCGACCCCGGCACTGGAGCGAACAAAAGAGACAAAGCCTCTGCCCTCATGAAGCTCACATGCTATCTGGGGCGGCGGGGGTGGGGGGCAGACAGTAAATGAACAAGGAAAGCAGCGTGTCATAGGGAGATGGGTGGCAGGTGGGAGGGATGAGGGGAAGCTGCTGGGTGGCAGGGGAGCTGAGACCTGAGGCTGGGAAGGGGCGGAGCCTGAAGCCATGGGGGAGAAGGGCTCCAGGCAGGGTCAGAGCGCGTGTCCTTGAGGAGGTAAGAAGCTCCTCTGGCAGGAGCAGCAGGGGTGAGGGCAGCGTCTTAGGAGGCGAGTTCAGGAGGCCGCCGGCAGGGCCTCGCAGGCAGGAGCACATCCGGGCTCTCAAAGGACCACTCGCTCCGGCTGCTCGGCTGAGAATCCGCTGGGCGGGGGCGTGCATGCGGAGGCGCGGACACGGGACAGGGCATCACAGGATGGTGGAGGCTGAGACCCGGGCGCAGCGGGAAGGGACACGAGACGGGCGGGATTCTGGAGAGACGGCGAACGTGGAGCTGAGAGGTCTGCCGGCCCGGATGTGGGGAATGAGGAAGCAGGACAGGAATCAAGATGGATCACGGGGTTGGATTTACCTCAGCATCTGGTGGATGAAACGCTCAAAAACTAAAATATTTGATTTTTATTTCTTTTTATTTTCCTTCCTTAAAAATCTACTGGCACTATTTCAAAGCTATAGAATGCCCAGTGCGAAAACAGAAAAAGCAGCAGATACGATGTAGCAAGATCCTCAGGCCTCACAACGGAAGGTAGGTGAGACTTACAATTAATTAATTAATTTCTGGTTTATCCTTCAGTGCTTATTTTTTTAAAGATTTTATTGGGGTATAGTTGATTTACAACATTGTTAGTTTCAGGTGTAAAGCAAAGTGATTCAGTTATACATACACATATATTCTTTTCTCATGTAGATTATCACATTCAGTAGAAGTCCCAGTACTATACACTAGGTACTTGTTGTTTTTCTATCTTACATGTAGTAGTTGTGTGTATGCTAATCCTAAGTTCCTGATTTATTCCTACCCCCGCAATGGTTCCCCTTGAGTAACCATAACTTTGTTTTTGAAGTCTAAGTCTGTTTCTGTTGTGTAAGTTCATTTGCATCATTTTAAAAAATGAATTCCACATATGAGTGATAACTGTATTTATCTTTCTCTGTCTGACTCACTTCACTGAGTGTGATCATCTCTAGGTCCATCCATGTTGCTGCAAATGGCATTATTTCGTTCTTTATTATGGCTGAGTAATATTCCACTGTATATGTGGACCACATCTTCTTTATCCACTCCTCTGCTGATGGACATTTAGGAGGCTTCCATGTCTTGGTTATAGTAAGTACTGCTGCAGTGAACATTGGGGTGCATGTGTCTTTTCAAATTATGGTTTTCTCCAGATATGCCCAGGAGTGGGATTGCCAGATCATATGGTAGTTCTATTCTTAATTTTTAAAGAAACCTCCATAATGTTCTCCAAAGTAGCTGTTACCAGTTTCCATTCCCACCAGCAGCTTAGGAGGGTTCCCTTTTCTCTGCACCCTCTCCAGCTACTATAGTTTGTAGACTTTTGGGTAATGGCCATTGTGACCTGTGCAAGGTGAGACCTTGTTGCAGTTTTGATTTGCGTTTCTCTGATAATTAGGGATGTTGAGCATCTTGTCATGTTTTGTTTTGTTTTTTTTAAACAGTGTGAATAATGTTACCTCTTGAAATTGGCTTCTTGAAATACTGCACTGATTTGAATTCTTTTTCGATTACTTATCCCAGGACATTTCTTGAGGACAGAGGTGTTATTTATTTACAGCCCTGCAGGCCTTGTGAATATTAAGACCTGGGCAGGTGTCACATCCCTAAAGCCTGAGCAGGCTTGGTTCCCAAGGCTGGACTGTCCTGGGGCTGAGGGAGCTGGGGAGGATATGCCAGCAAATGAGCCCCTCCTTGGCCCTCTAGTGCCTGGTCCCCTCTGGATGGAACCACAACCTCCAGATCCAGGTGGGCCCTCCTACAGCTAAACCAAGCCTACTGCACCCAAAGGATGGTGGACTCTCTGGGCTGGAAGAGTTTGAAAAGTCACCTGGTCTCCATGTCTCCTAGTGGTGGGGCTCCCACCTCCAGCTCCGTCCGTACAGTCGCCCCGCCTCCGGACGACAGCACACTCAGCAGAGCGGTTTTGCAGGGGTTGGGTATTGTCTGGTGGTGAAGGGTAAGGGGGAAGGGGCAGTGAGACAAAAGCCCTTGGGTGTTTGTTCTAATTTACAACCCAGAAACAAGAGTTTCCCTAAGGTTCTGGGTGCCCAAGGCAGCAGAGCTGGCATGAAGAAATCCTGCCACCTTGTGGCCATTTTCCAGAAAAACAAGTTAAAAACCAGTGCTGATGGGCACTTGTCACAAGGCCGGGGGGGGGGGGGGCTGTAAATGACACCTGCCCTCAAGAAATGTCCTGGGGTTGGTAATCGCAAAAGAATTCAAACAGGGCAGACTTTCAAGAAGCCAATTTCAAGAGGTAAATTTTACACTGTTGAAAAAAAAGGCACATGAAAATATGCTCAACATCAGTAACTTTTAAAAAAATATTTTTATTTTTTAACATCTTTGTTGGAATATAATTGCTGTACAATGTTGTGTTAGTCTCTGCTGTATAATAAAGTGAATCAGCTATATGTATACATATATCCCCTTATCCCCTCCCTCTTGTGTCTCCCTCCCACCCTCCCTATCCCGCCCCTCTAGGTCATCGCAAAGCAGAGCTGATCTCCCTGTGCTATGCGGCTGCTTCCCACTAGCTAGCTGTTTTACGTTTGGTAGTGTATTTATGTCAATGCCACTCTCTCAGTCCGTCCCAGCTTACCCTTCCCCCTCCCGTGTCCTCAAGTCCATTCTCTACCTCTGCATCTTTATTCCTGTCCTGCCCCTAGGTTCTTCAGAACCATTTTTTTTTTTTTAGATTCCATATATATGTGTTAGCATATGGTATTTGTTTTTCTCTTTCTGACTTACTTCACTCTGTATGACAGACTGTAGGTCCATCCACCTCACTACAAATAACTCAAATAACTCAATTTTGGTATTTTATGGCTGAGTATTCCATTGTATATATGTGCTACATCTTCTTTATCCATTCATCTGTCGAACATTGCTAATTATTAGAAAGATGTAAAGCAAAACTACCATGAGGTACCACCTCGCACCAGTTGGAATGGCCATCATCAAAACATTTACAAACAATAAATGCTGGCGAGGCCACGGAGAAAAGGGAACTCTCCTATGTCACTGGTGGGAATGGACATCAGTAACAGCCACTATGGAGAATACTATGAAGGTTCCTTAAAAAAACTAACACTAGAGCTATTATAATATGATCCGGCAATCCCACTGCTGGGGCGTATATCTGCAGAAAACCATAATTCGAAAAGCCACATACACCCCAACATTCACTGCAACACTATTTACAATAGGCAAGACATGGAAGCAAGCTAAATGTCCATAGACAGAGGAGTGGACGAAGAAGGTGTGGTGCATACATAGAATGGAATACTACTCAGCCACTAAAAGAGCAAAACAGGGCTTCCCTGGTGGCGCAGTGGTTGAGAGTCCGCCTGCCGATGCAGGGGACGCAGGTTCGTGCCCCGGTCCGGGAAGATCCCACATGCCACGGAGCGGCTGGGCCCGTGAGCCATGGCCGCTGAGCCTGCGCGTCCGGAGCCTGTGCTCCACAACGGGAGAGGCCACAACGGTGACAGGCCCGCGTACCGCAAAAAAAAAAAAGAACAAAATAATGCCATTTGCATAAACATGGATTGACCTAGAGATGATCATACTAAGGGAAGGAAGGAAGTCAGAGAAAGATAAATATGATATCACTTACATGTGGAATCTAAAGAAAAAGTGATTCAAATGAACTTATTAACAACACAGAAACAGACTCATAGAGTTCGAAAACAAACTTATGGTTAGAAAAGGTAACGACACAAACACAAATGCTCACCAACCAATCAAGAAGCAGGCTGTTTGTCCAATAGGATCTGGCCAGGAACTGTCGCCAATTCCACAAGTGAAACAGATATGTGACTCCTTCACTTATTTGATGCGTAAAATGACCCCATCATCTCCTGGGACACGGATCATGTCCACAGCCCTCCTGCGTGGCCACCCTTTCTCTGTTTCACATCCTTGGCTTTTTAAACAAGCAATTTGTGTAGATCGAGGAGAGAACGGGCAGCGAGGCCAGAGAAGTAAGTAACCAGAGGGGGGCCCCAGCAGCACACTCGGACAATCACCCCGGTCCTCCACCCACCAGGCTCCTGCCCCCGCTCTCCTTACCCTGCTCCCCGGACACGTCAGCCTCGGCCTCCTCGGCCACAGCCTCTGCTTCCTGTTCCCTTTCCAGAGCATCAGCCTTGGCTCCTCTCACGCATGACCCCTCTCCGTCCACCACCCCTGACACTGAGGGCACCTGCGTCTCCTGCGAGCCTGGGGACCAGGCCTTGATCTTTCTACCAGTGGCGCCTTGCACAGCTTCCGATCCACAACGGTCACAGCAAATGACGGCTGCATGAATGAATGAATCCTTGCTAGCCAAACCTCCTTAGGCCACATCTTTAGGAAAACCACCCTGTTTTGAATATAATATTCTCCCTTTCTTCATAGTAGATCCATGAAACATCATCAACACTATCTTACTGCCTACAAAACTACTGACTATAACAGGATTCCTTCAAAGATACAAATGGCACAGAGACAGCACTGCTTATGAACCAAAAACCTTTTTCACTTTAAGATTTCTTCTCAATTTAATGACAGTGCAGATGAGGCTTGTTTCCTTCAGCAGATTTCAAAATTTTAAACAGTGAAGATTCTAATTAATCAAGTAGTAACTGAGTTTTCCCCCCTTGTTGCCACCCTTTTCCATCTGCACAGTTTCTTTGTGATACTCTTATCTTTCACTCTGCTTCTGAGTTGACTTTTATATTAACAAGCCCTGCTTCTCAAACTGAGGTACATGGTGGGAATGCAACTGAGGTTATTATACTGAGAAAACAGCCACATCCAATCCCTGGCACAACCGGGGGAATAAATAAATATGTTACTCCTAAGTGACATACAGCTTAATACAGTCGATATCCTAAGTTCAATACAGTTTTAATTTCCCATACTTACGAGTTCTGACTACCTGAATATTTTCAACGATTAGATGGAATGGTAAGACAGGAAGAGGGCTAAGAGCACTCACTCTTCTTTTCTTTTCATGTTCTCTCTTGCCTGTTGGGCTTTGGTGAGAATAAACCACTGGAGGTTTGCTGGATCGCAGAGGATAGGAATGTTAAAATGCCCAAGTTCGTGCAAACTTGGAGCATATCTGTCACTGTAATAAAGCATACGTAAAAGGAAAAATCAGCAACCTCTCCACCCCCATTCCACCCCCAAAGAAACGATTTTCTTAGTCTGATTAATGGAAAGGAACTCATCAAGAAAATCCACCTCAAAGGTACAGTAAGTCCCCTACATATGAACGAGTTCCGTTCCGAGAGTGCGTTCCTAAGTCCAATTTGTTCCTTAAGTCCAACAAGTTAGCCAACTAACACAATTTGGTTATATAGCACTGTACTGTAGTAGGTTTATAATACTTTTCACACAAATAATACATAAAAAACAAACACTTGAAATAAAGATACTGTACTACTGTACTCTCTACAGTACTGTACAGTGAAGTACACAAAAGCACAACCACTTGTAGAGGATGCACGCATGTGACAATGTACAGCAGACACATGAACTAACTTATGAGATTGGACACGTGAATGTATGCTTGCATCTTTGAAAGTTTGCAACTTGAAGGTTCATATGTAGTGGACTTCCTGTATAGCAGAATTGACTTGAAGTTTTGCTGTCCCCAAAGGGACACACTATCAGGATGACCACACCCTTCCTGGCCCTGTGACCTTCCTCATCTGTAAGATGGGGGTAGTAACCCACTCCATGGTGAGGTTGTGAGAGCTGAAGAGATAATGCATTTAAGTACCAAGCACGGTGCCTGATATGCACACTGTTTATTTCACATTAGTTTAATCCTATAAAGTTTTCCACAGGACTGATTTGCCCTGTAAGGGGCAATATATTTACAGAATGTTCTAGAGACTCAATCTTTCAATCCTCTCATGTTGGCTTTTCTCAAGTTTAAAAGAGTGTTGCCAACAGAGGTGGTGACATTCCTTTCTTTAATTCCTAAGAATCACACATGGAAATACAAAACAATTTCATGCATGGACACACACAGCCCATCTGACTGAATGAATAAAAGTAATTGTTTTAGATACTTGCCTGTTAAGGATCATTTGCAAACCACGCAAACTTCGAGGGTGAAAAGGTATTCGACTTTTCAAGAGTCTATTATAGAACACGTCGAGAAGAGAGTAATATTCTTCAAGTGTCAACACTGGTTGTAATTCTTCGATATAAACAACTTGGATGCCACCTAGAAGATAGCTTATTTGGTCCTCCAGAAGCATCAGCCTCCTCTGCAGGTCAAAATAACTCGGTAATCTTTCAAAAAGCTACAGTATTTTTTTTTTTGAAAAAAAGGGAAGAAATATTTAGTTTTATGGTACTTTAACAGTCCAAGTTCAGGACTCCAATAAATGGTACTGAGAAATTCTAACAAGAAAATGATAAATTATTTTCCTAGAAGGAAAGTTCAAGTAAGCAATAAGAAAAAAGCTATGGAGTGCTGGAAATATTAATATTCAAAATAAACCACTGTAAATCTTAGGAACTTTTAGCTAGGAATTGAAGAGATTGCAGAAGAAAAGAAATATGTTCCAAATAAAAATAAGTGTTAAGTACTAACATTTAAATATTCAGGTAAGACTCTCAAATTAGGTTAGAAAGATTAAATGGTATAATAAAGAAGGGTTTTAGAAATACAGTCTACATATTTCAATTCCAAGTCTATTCTTTCAGAATTTCTATTCTATTAGAAAGTCTGTTCCTTCAGAATTTCCCTTAATTCAACTAAATTCAATTATGGAGCACCTATCATGTACTTAAGTACTAAACTGGGTCCTTGGAATATAGAGATTATAAGAATTTGTGTCCCTGTTTGCCAGGGCTCATGGTCAGGGTGCAGGGAAACAAAAGAAGAATCAGAATTCAGCGTACCAAGGGCCACATCAGGGTGAAGGGACTGGAGGGTCAAGCAAAGGTTTCTAAAGATGTCTAACGTAATCAATATGAAGAGATAAAGAGGATTTAGAGAAGGTTAGACACATTGCTAAGCATTAAAGAAATGCAAGTCCAAACTACAATGAGGTACCACCTCACATTGGTCATAATGGCCATCATCAAAAAGTCTACAAATACCAAATGCTGCAGAGCATGTGGAGAAAAGGGAACCCTCTTACACAGCTGGTGGGAATGTAAGTTGCTGCAGCCACTATGGAGAAAAGTATGGCGGTTCCTTAAAAAACTAAAAATAGAGTTGCTATATGATCCAGCAATCCTACTCCTGGGCATATATCCAGACAAAACTATAATTTGAAAAGATATATGCACCCCAATATTCATAGTGGCACTATTCGCAATAGCCAGGACATGGAAACAACCTAAACGTCTATTGACGGATGGATAAAGAAGATGTGGTCCATATATACAATGGAATATTACTCAGCCATAGAAAAGAATGAAACAGTGCCATCTGCAGCAACATGGATGAACCTAGAGATGACAAAACTAAGCGAAGTAAGTCAGACAGAGAAAGACAAATACCATATGATATCACGTATATGTGGTATCTAAAATATGACAGAAATGAACTTATCTACGAAGCAGAAACAGACTCACAGACATAGAAAACAAACTTATGGTTACCAAAGGGGGAAGGAGGTGGGGGAGGAATAAATTAGGAGTTTGGGATTAGCAGATACAAACTACTATATATAAAATAGATATACAAGGTCCTCTTGTATAGCACAGGGAACTATATTCAATATCCTGTAATAAACCATAATGGAAAAGAATATAAAAAAGAATATGTATATGTATGTATAACTGAATTACTTTGCTGTATACCAGAAATTAATACAACACTGTAAATCAACTATATTTCAATGAAAAAAAAAAAGGAATAGAGAAGGTTAGCTGCATGTGGGAAAGTTTCAGGGGAAGAAAAAAGCATGTGCAAACCTGGAAGGACCAATAGGGACAAAGCAGGTTCAAAAACAAGGAGATTGGTGTGGCTGGAGGGTGGCACACGTGGCCTAAGTGGAAGGAGGCGAGGCTGAAGAGGCAGGTGGCGCTGGGTCGGGGAAGGACCTGTGTCCTACATTACAGACTCAGATTTTATGCAGAAAGTTGCAGTTATATTAGAGGAGTTGAAAGGCATCAAAAACTCTGCTATAATAAAAGCAATAGCAGTATAAAAATTCCACAAAGTATTTATAATATACTTCTAACACTTTTTGAAAAACAATTTTACTACCTACTTTTCAACTTTTTTCTCAACGAGTTATTCATGTGTAAATGGTAGCTACGTTTTAAACACCTTTAATTTTGAGATAACTTTAGATTCACACGTCTTTCACCCAGTTTCTCCAATGGTGACATCTTGCAAAACTATATACAATCACAACCAGGAAACGGACATGGCTACAGTCCACTAACCTTGTTCAGATTTCATCAGTCTTACTTGCACTCGTGTGGATTTAATCATATGCAGATTTATCACACGTAGAGATTCATGGGACATGACCACAGTCAAGACATAGAAGAGTTCCATCACAAGGATCCCCTCTGCTGCACTTCCATAGCCACAGACACCTCTGCTCTCTCATCCCCTGATCCCTGCAACCACTAATATGTTCTTTCTATAATTTTATTATTTGAAGAATGTTATATAAATGGAATCATACAGCATGTATTCTTGTGAGATTGACTTTTTTCACTTTGTACAATGCCCTTGAGAGCCACCCAAGCTGTTGCCTGTATCAGCAGTTCATTCCTTCTTACCACCGAGTGGAGTTCTGTTGCATCGATGTGCCAAGGTTTGCGTCACCATTCAAATACTGGAGGGTATTAGGGTTCTTCCTAGTTTTTTGCTATCACGAACATTTGTGTACAGTTTTGTTTCTCTAGTATAAATGCCCAAGAGGGCAGCTGCCAAACCCCATGATAAACATGTGTTTACTATTATAAGAAACTGCCACACGCTTTGCCAGGGTGCCTGTGCCATTGTACATGCTCAACAGGAATGCATGAGTGATCCAGTTTTTCTGCATCCTCGCCAGCATTTGGTGGTATCATTATTTTTCAGTTTAGCCATTCTGACAGGTGTGCAGTGACATCTCATTGCCTTTCCCTATGGTTTTTCATGTGCTTATTCGGCATCTGTATGTCCTTTTCTGTGACATATCTATTCATGTTCTTTGCCCATTTTCTAATTGTTTATTTTTTTTACTGTTGAGCTTTGAGTGTCCTTTATATATTTAGATACAAAGACTTTGTCAGGTAGGTGGTTTGCAAATATTTTCTACCAGATATTGGATTTGAACAGATATTTCACCAAAGAAGATATACGGATGGCAAAAGAGCACATGAAAAGATGCTCACCACCATTCATCATTAGAGAAATGCAAATTAAACCCACAATGAGATAGAACCACACACCTCTTAGAGTGGCTAAAATTAAAAAGATGACCATAGCAAGTGTTGGCAGTTTTTTTTTTTTTTTTTTTTTTGCGTTACACAGGCCTTTCACTGTCGTGGCCTCTCCCGTTGCGGAGCACAGGCTCCAGATGCGCAGGCTCAGCGGCCATGGCTCACGGGCCCAGCCGCTCCGCGGCATGTGGGATCTTCTCGGACCGGGGCACGAACCCGTGTCCCTTGGCATTGGCAGGCGGACTCTCAACCACTGCGCCACCAGGGAAGCCCAAGTGTTGGCAGTTTCTTAAAAAGTTAAAATACCCTAACATATCTGGCCATTCCACTTTTAGGTATTTATCCAAGAGAAAAGGAAATATATGTCCACATTAACTTTGTAGATAAATGTTCACAGCAGCTTTATTTCTAGTAGCCAAAAGCTGACGTAACCCAACATCCATCCATAAGTGAATGGATAAACAAACTGGTATATCCATATGATGGAATACTACGTGGAAATAAAAAGGAATAAATACACACAATAGCATGGATGAATCTGAAATTATGCTAAATGAAAGAAATCAGATCCTAACCCCAACATACTCTGATTCCACTTATATAAAACTCTAGAAATATACACTAATCTATAGTGACAGAAAGCAGACCAGTGGTTGCTGGGGTAGGGGGTGGTAGATGGAAGAGAGGGTTTACAAGGGACATGAGCATTCTTTTGTGGGTGATGGATGTGTTCACTATCCTGATTATGGTAATGGTTTCATGGGTATTTACATACGTAAATATACATATTTACCCACTATAATATACCCACTAAATTATACCCACTAAATATGTACAGTTTATTGTAAGTCAATTATACCACAGTAAATCTGCTGAAAACAAAACAAACAAAACAACAGAATGAAGGCCTTTAGCCTATGCTTCAGAAAAGACTATAAAATTTCCAGATAAAAACGGACTTAAAAATCAGTCCTCTAACAATTTAAACTACAAAATATTAAGCATCTGATCTGCAAACAGATGATTCAAATTTTTTTTAGTTTACTGACATATTAGCATAGTTTGAAACAAAAGTATGTCGATAACAAATTAGAGATTTTTTTTTGCTTTTAAGCTTTTTCTTACTTTTGTCCAGTGATGATGGACATCCATTGTTCCCAGCATCACATGGCCCACTGCACTCATCCCGGACCGGTCTGTAAATATTATTGTACATCCTGATGATAAAGCACAAACCTTTGGTCACTGTCCAGAGAGGCTTCATTCTTTCAGCACTGTGCAAATAATTACGTAAATTTCATGTATCAACTCAGGATTAAATTCGGTAGAAGCTTAAAGCCTAATTTTATGTCACTGTTTAAGTCAAAGGAACAGATTTTAAAATTCAGCTGATATAAAGTCACATCTATCAATACAAAGACTTTTAACACTTAGCTTTCTTCTAGAATTTACAGATGTGTATAGCCGTTAAGGGATATGGATTTCGGAAGTGAATGGAAATTGTTTACCTTTTGCATTTTTAAGGCTTTCCAAGTTCTGCTGGGCTAAGCGGCCTAAACTGTGCAGCTGACTGCAGCGGTGGGCGATGCCCCAGCTCCTCTGCCACCTGGTCCAACAGAGCACACAGCCCATTAACACCCGTGTCCCCCCAGAGGGAGGCACACACTCGCCCCCACTGCTTGACTCCCGTGAAAGCCGAGGAGTTGCTTTCTCAAGGAGACACACAACATGTTTCCAAACTAACTCATTTTTCAAGAAGCAGCCGAATGGGAAATGAATCGTTTACCAGAGGGTAAAAATCTTAGCACTATATTCAGCGATCCAAAGACTTAAAACAAGCAAATACACTGTGTTGTTTCTCTTAAAATAAGAGGAGGAAATGGGGAAAACTTTGACAAAGATCTTTTTCTTCTTTATGTTGTTTAATGACAGTGTTGTCTTAGATTTAAGTTCCAACTAGGAATTCCAGTTTGGTTTATCAGGATTTTTTTTTATCATATTCTAGAGAAAATGATTTTTACGACATCATGTAATCTGCTCATTTTATAGATGAACATTATTACACCTCAGTGACAAAATGGAACTTGATATTCACATGTCACAGAGGCACTTCTGTGTATGTGTAAAGAGCACCGGTATTAAGTGGTACCAGAAAACCAAACTTCGAATTCTAATTCTGTGATTTACTAGCTCTGTGACCTTCAACAAACTGCCTCTAGTCTTCCTAAGGTTTCTCTTCATGCTTGCCCAGTGGGGACACTTCTTACAGCACAGGTAGTGTACATCATAGGGGATGAACATGTGAAGGAGTAAGGCGCTCAACAGGCTTTCAGAAAACTTAGGTTCCTTCTTCATGCTAACACCAATTCTGATGAATGTCATTTCTGATAAAGTGAAATCGGCTTTCAAAATTATTCCTTTAACACACAATGTCATCAGTCACAATGCTTCCTTTCGTTGGAGACTTGGTTAATTTCCCAGGAAGCCGAGACACTCACGTCCGTGGTCCTTAAATGTTTTGGTCTCGGGACCTCTTTGCACTCCTAAAAACTGAGAACCTCGAAGAGCTTTTGTTTATATGGGTTATAGCTATTGATATTTACCATAGCTGAGAAATTTCTCCATTATATTGTAAAATAATGTTTATTTCTCTTTATGTTTAAGAAATCCTTTCATTTTCCTGATCCATTCTGCCTTCTCACATCTCTTAAAATTTATTTAGAAAAAGTTATTTTCATGCATATTAATTTGGTTTTTTATATACCTGTAAGAAGGATCTTATTATTTTGTTTTTAGTTAGTGAAGTCTATGTTACTAGATTATGGAATTGGAAGGGCCCCCTCTAATCACAGCTTGGATGTGATGAAAAGACAGCAGTTATCAGCACAAACCCAAACATGCCACACAGTCCAGGTGTAAACACTTTCCTCTGAAATTTGAATCATCTTGGACAACTATGATTTGAATACGTAAGAATAGAACATATAAGTACTATCTGTATTCTGCAAGCCCAGGAAAAAGGTGCTGTTACGATATCCAAGTGGTCATTTGGTTCAATTTAAGTACAAAGTCCTGATAATGATGGCTGAAAACAACAAAACAGGCTACAGCAAAGAGTAACAGAAGTTTAAGCTCCAGACCAGATGACAATACCTCAGGGTTCTTGTAATGCAGAGTCCCATGACTGAATCACACCACCCCCTCCTTAGGGTTGTGACAGCTGTTAAATCTATTTTTATAATAGATAAGGATTCAGCATGTATCTTCATACAACTGTGATTTCTAAGTTTATGAAAACATTTAAAAAGTCATGTTATAGTGACTACAGGTAATGATACTGTATTGCATTTTGAAAGTTGCTTGAAGAGTAGATCTTAAAAGTTCTCATCACAAGAAAAAACTTGTTTTGTAACTATGTATGGTGACAGATGTCAACTAGACTTATTGTGGTGGTCATTTTGCAATGTATACAAATAATGAATTATCATGTAAAACACTTGGAACTAATATAATGTTATATGTCAATTATACCTCAATTAAAAAAAAAGTCATGTTATATAACACAGAATAAAAGAATACAACATTTATTTTTTATCTCCCTTCCTCTTTTTTTTTTTTTTTTTTTTTTTTGCGGTATGCGGGCCTCTCACTGTTGTGGCCTCTCCCGCCGCGGAGCACAGGCTCCGGACGCGCAGGCTCAGCGGCCATGGCTCACGGGCCCAGCCGCTCCGCGGCATGTGGGATCTTCCCAAACTGGGGCACGAACCCACATCCCCTGCATTGGCAGGCGGACTCTCAACCACTGCGCCACCAGGGAAGCCCTCCCTTCCTCTTTTTAAACTTAAGTACCAGTCTTACATGATTGGGAAATAATTATTTTTTGTACATTATGGGCATAGGAAAAGTATATTTTTCACAAGCCCATTATGTTAAAAAAAAACTATTATGCTAAAAATATCAGTATCTAAACTTTACTTCACTATTTTAAGCAAGAAATTCATATGGATTTTCTTACATAAACATTTGATTACTTTCATAAAAAGATAACTGAATATTGAGTGAACACAATAATTAAAGATGCAAATATTTAACTGTTAGAAATCTTTACCAAAGGTAATCTCTAAATTAGGTTTTCTCTTCTTCATTACCTGATATCCGAGAGCTGCAATTGATGGGACAGTTCATCTTTTAAACGATCTAGTTCTTTTCTAAGTGGCAAACTATTCTTCAGCTTTTTAACAGCACTTTTCCCATTATTATCTAACCAGGATCTAGAAAGAAAAAAAACAGAGATATACACTTTGCAATACTAACTATAATGCAGACATTTCTACTATTGAACGACGTGTTCATTGACTTAAAGCAGCCCCAGTGTTAAACCGAGTTTGCCATCAAACGTTTGCCAAATTATAAGTACTGTTGTGAAGTCTATTCTTTTAGAGTAAATACTTCTAAAATAGGTTTCTTGGAAAACTGCCAGCATCTGTTAAATCATATTCTACTTATGACAACTTGCTTTGTCTCTCAAAAATATTCAATTTAAATTACACCAAGCCTGTTGCTAGATTTCCAAAGATGGGATGATTTTTAAAGAATTAAAGATACTTCAAACCTCACTTATGTTTATTGCACTCTTAGGCAGGCTATACTAGACCGTCACCTACATCAGTCATCTACAGGCGACCCTTTTCCTACTGGAGCAAATGAGCAGATGATGTTCTAGTGCAGCCAGACGGTGAAAAAGTCAATTCAGAAGACACACCTAATGGTACTGGTGACATTCAAAAGGCAGTATTTCCTGATGAAGGGATTTGCGAAGGGAACTCTGTGGATTCTAACTGGGTAGATCCAGTCTCTTCCTTTGTTTTCGTCTTGGTTGTTAGCACCCTGAGCCTCCCTGCTCACCCCCTCAGCGCTCTGTCCAAATGCTCCCACTGGTCAGACCTCACCAGTCTTGGTGTCTCCATCCACATGCTCCTGTCGGGTGGGTCTGTTTGCCCCTCAGTTCCTTTCCACCCAACCAAATGCCCAGCTCTAGTCTCACCTCTCTCCACCTTTATTTTTTCCCCCCGTCAACTACATCATAGGCTCAGCAGAAAGATGTTCTTTTAATTCTGCATTTCTTAGAACGTTTACTTCAGTGAAGTCTTAAAAGAGAAAATAAACATCAAATTTGGTAAGGATTAGAAGGGGAGAGCTTTCAGAAAAGAGCTGAGGGCAGCCTGGGTGGCCTCGTACCGAGCAGCATGGCCTCTTGGGAGGTTATCACTTCCTCGGTGTTATAATGGTCATGGCACAAGGGATGCTGGCTGTCGCTCAGAGCCTCTAGTCTCCTAGGGGAGTCTGGACAAACGAGAGGCCTGGGTGGTGCCTAGGAGGCTGAATGGCTGCTGCAGGAGTAGGCAGGGCAGAATGGCAAGGTGACTTGGGGATCAGAGGAACATTTTGGGTCCAAGATGTAGTGGTGGAGTGGGCCCTGGGTACAGCCGTGCAAGAGAAAGCTCCAGGGGGTTAGGGGAAAAATGGTCTAAAGCACGCCATCCCCAGGCCACCTGACACCCCCTGTGGGACACCTGTCAGTGACTGATGGTCAGGTGTTAGGATAACTCTGCAGAAGGGCTCATATGTCCATCTCAGAAGGGCTTGCCAAATAAACCTTTTGAAGGTTCCTTATTAAGTCACTTTAAAGGTTTGAGATGTTGTGATCTAAAACATTTAAAAAATAATCAAGTTCAGGGAATTCCCTGGTGGTCCATTGGTTAGGACTCCCGCTTCCACTGCAGGGGACACTGGGTCCTATCCCTGGTCGGGGAACAACCATCTGGCACACTGCACAGCGCGGCCGCAAAATAATAGTAATCAAATTGAAACTTTCAGAACCAATCAAATCATTATGCGTGCATCAAATATTTATCCTGAAAGCCGAACAGTGTGTTGTGTTGGGAATCTAAGGAAGATACATCTAGTAAGGAACAGAGAGAGAAGCAACTGGAAGAGAATATATGAGCTTCTAGGAGAACAGAGGAAGAATTAACTAATTCTGCCTGGAAGGTTCTAACCTGAGAGATGGACCAGATTTTCCCAGGCAGATTAGTGAAAGGGAAGGGCATGCCAACCACGCCAGTGCACAGGGAAGTATAAGATGAACCAACGTGCCCAGATCACACGATGCCTAGAGGGAGGGTGGTGTGAGATGAGACTGGAGAGGCACATATGTGTGTGTGTGTGTGAGATTATAAAAGGTCTTGCACATTGGGGTAAGGAATTGGGATCTTTTCCTCTAACTAAAGATGTTCCACTTTGTTTTTTTGGCCATGAGGAGGAGCTTGCAGGGATCTTAGTTCTGGAACAGGGATTGAACCTGTGCCCCCTGCAGTGGAAGCTCGGAGCCCTAACCACTGGACCACCAGGGAATTCCCTATATTCCACATTTTTTTGACTCACTAAATGTGTGCAGTCATTAATAATTCTTCCTACTCCCCCTTTAAGAATACTGGTAGTGATTTTATTTCTGCTTTCTGTGTGAGAAATAAGAAAATAATATCTTACTTTATATCACGATTATTAGCTATTACAATTTTTCAACCTTTTCGTCATTTATTAAGTCATATGTGTTAATCAATTTACTTTAAATTATGTAATAGAAAGGATGCTTTTTGCCAAATGAATTACCAAATGGCATACTATGTTGGGTTTGGGGACCAAATGTCTTAAACTGTAGAATGAAATATAATCTTACGATTATATATATTCATGACCTGATTGTTGGAATTCTTACATTTAGTGTATAAAATTTAACTGATCTAGTTTAACAATTTTTGTGTTTTGTGTCTAAACACGGAGATAAAAATGAAGGTTCTACACATGGCATTTTCTTTCTATCTATGTAGATATTAGATCTATCTATAGATATAAAGACAAAGATACATGTATCCTAGCTCTGGCCACTGAGAAGTTCAGTAGCAATTGAGACATGCACCACCCAGATCTTGGTTTCTAAAAATCATTCCCTCCTAAAAAGAACCAGAGCTTCTTGGCAAAATGGTTCAATCAAACACTGGGCCAGGGAAAGTCCAGATGAGCCTGGAACACCTTGGTGAACCAGGAAGTAAGAGAGTTCTCAAAGAATGATGGGGACATAGGAGCCGGCTTGAAGGGATGATAAGGTTAGAGAATTGCCATTTGGCAACCATCATCATAATATGTGATTCAGGCAAAAATCATCAATGAGCACTAGAGCTAAGGGGTAAAACTTCAGTGTTAAAAGGATATTTACACAGCCCTAAGTATCTGCTCAAAAGAAACTAACTGAAGGGAAAAATAGTTCCTTTACTGGGGAAAAAACTGGGAGACACCACCTTAATCAAATGATCCAAGTTAATATCACTAGTAATGGGATAATCAACATCATATGCCTCCTATATAACATTGAAAACAACACACTTCACTTTCTGGGTATTCCTGCCAAATATGAATAACCTGACTCTAATTATGAGAAATACCAGATAAACTCAAAACACTCAAATTGAAGGACATTCTACTAAATAACAGCAAGGCAATGGAAGACAAGAAAACACTGAGGAACCATTCCCGATTAAAGGAGGTTACAGAGACTAAAGTTATGACTTATAATTTGAAAAACAATGACTTAGCCTATAAATAAGGAGAAGACTGAATAAGTGTATTACATGAGTTAAAGCATGATTATAGCATTTCCAAATATCCTACAGAAATAATTCCAATATTGTAATTGTCCAATGTGGCATTTTGTGGACACTAAGAGGATTCAGAGCTTAGACAATGCAAGTGAAATAAATCTTTGTGTGCAAACTTCAAATAGAAAAAATGGAAGTCTGACACTTACTAATATCTCAGTAGTTAACAGAATAGCATTTCAATGGTCTTTCTATAGTTCAATGACATGTTTTTTTCAGTGGGATAGACATTACATATGGGATCATTCTGTTTAGATACAAATGGATCCTGTTGTCTCCTTGCAAACACAAATTCTATAAATGCAATATATTTTAGTGATAAAATTATTTGATAATCAGGGAATATATGCAAAATATGGAAATACTAAAAGCTACAACACAAAGTAGCATTTTCTAATTTTTTTTAGGCTGGCATATTCTTTTTATTATAGTATATAATTAGAAAACCTTACATATTAAACATTTCATTACAGTGTTTTTATCACTATAAAGTGATTTTACAGTAAGATAAAGCACAATTTGCTGAGAAATTCAAAATTACACAGCATGTCCTAAAATGTACATTGAAATGTAACTGCCAGATATAAGAAAATAGATTAAATGGAGCTTTTATGACCTGATAATTCTTCTATGTTGTGTTTTCAAAAACTCAACTAATTTATTTTCATAATTTCTGTGATTTATTTCAGCCTGCATGTCTCTGCGGAAACATAAGGAAAATTATTTGAAAGTTTACACTAAATAGAACTGTTATATTTTCTCTTTTTAACATTACATTCTGAAATATTAGAAATAACATGCTTTCAAGATTAATTTTTTTTTTTTTTTTTTTTTTTTTGCGGTATGCAGGCCTCTCTCTGCTATGGTCTCTCCCGCTGTGGAGCACAGGCTCCGGACGCGCAGGCTCAGCGGCCACGGCCCGCGGGCCCAGCCGCTCCGCGGCACGCGGGACCCTCCTGGACCGGGGCACGAACCCGCGTCCCCTGCATTGGCAGGCAGACTCTCAACAACTGCGCCACCAGGGAAGCCCCAAGATTAAATTTTGATCAGGTGAATGCAATTTGTAAAACAGGTGAAGATCAGCTGGATGTAAATTGCAGAATTATTTTTATGCTCCCTCTGAACTGTGTAATTCAGCATGTGCTCCTTATGCGTCCTCTCCTATAACTACATATATAATAAAGATGAGGTAAACAATACAAGAATGAAAATAAAAACAAACCGGATATGGCCAAAATGACCATGGTGGTGAATAAGTTTTGTCTCAGTTACAGCCCCTAAATCTCCTGACTATGGGACAGTCATTCCATTCATATGGTTTGAAACCTGTCAAATGGTTCAACGATTTTATAATTATTTGCAAAATAATAACAAATTAAAAAAACTAGGACTTCTCTGGTGGTCCGGTGGTTAAGACTCCACACTTCCAATGCAGGGGGCTTGGGTTCGATCCCTGGTTGGGGAACTAAGATTCCACGTCCCACGTGGCGTGGCCAAATAAAAAATTAATAACTGAAACAAGAAACTGATACAAACTGGCTTTGATGACGTAAGCTCCTGGAATCCTTACTGGGAAAAACTAACATAAAACAAAACCTTGAACAAACCCTCATCAGGGTTCCTGCAAACTGGGCAACATCCATATTTGGGAAAAGGTCAAGATTGGAAAGGGGTGCTGGGCCTGTGTGAACACACTGGACCAGGGAGACCAGGTTAGGTTATGGAAATAAGAGATATGAAATCTTCCAAATTCATACAACTGTCGTAACCGGGGCACCGGCCCTCTAAGGCATGATGGTAAAGGCAACAGATTTTTTTGGGCAGCATTTAGTCGATACTGTAATTTACCCAAAGGGCCCAAAGAGCAGCATGTATTCCTTTTCTTGCCTTTTTCAGTGTAGAGCTGTCCTCTCCTATCCTACCCAGCCTAGACCCTCTGCTCTAAAATTATACCTAATAAGCTAAACTCAAACTCTATGAGGTGTGATGATCTGGTTCAGGTAAGTCAATAACATATCAATGTTCAAGAAATATAACCCAAGGACCTCCGATACAAGCATCAAAAACTAAACAAAACAGAAATCTCTAACCGGTCGATTTTAGAAGAGAAGCTTTGAGTAGGAAGATTTAAGGTGATACCAGTCAACTCTCAATATTCTCTAGCCCAAGAAAAATATATGGAAGTAAAAGATATGAAACAGCATTACACCAAGAACCAGCCACAACCCTATTCCAGCTCTTCTGTAAGAAACTCTAAATACTGTCTGTTTCATTTAGGATAATTCAATATTAATTTTAAATCACAGTTTTAAAGTGAATGTAAGATCTCTCTTATAAACAGGGATAAAACATGTAATGCTTTATCGTTGTTAATTTCATTTGTCAAAGCTAAGAAAACAAAGGTTCTATCTGGCTATGAATGGATTTACTTCATTGTTTGACAAGATACATAGCTATTGACAACTGAATTTGGATAATAATGATCAATAAATTAGACAGTTATATTTCCACTGATTTCAATTTCTAAAACAGTGGTCTATTTAATTTATGTTGCTATGTTCCTTAAGAGTAGGCAAATCAAAATGACATGTTTTGAGCTTGTGCTGGTAACTGTCAACATGAGAGCTTGAATTTAAAACAAAGTATCCCTCTGGAGGAAATGAAGAATTCATAGTAACACAACTCATGTACACTTAGAAAATTTCCTTAACACAATGTATCTCTTGCTAAAAACAGCAGATACTTTAAGTCAACAGTAATGAAACTAACAGAGGCACTGTTTTAAAAAAAATGGTCCTCTACATTCATTGCTGAGTCACTTCTACTGCTACCATCTGTATTAAGCTACTTTACATTTCCATATTAAACCTTGAGTTCTCCACACCCAGCCTCCAGCACTTCACATTCACACTTTTCCAACAATTCTTTAATTCAGTGAAATAAAAATGCTCGTTGGGTTTTATGAATCTACGAAGCAGATTAGTAGAAAGATGATTAAAACATGTTCCCTACTCTTAAAAATGCATTATCTAGTAACATGTAATATAATATAATGTGAGAGTGTTTACTTTTATTGAAGACTGAAGAATTTTATTGGATGAACTACATACAAATAAGGAAATTATAAATACTCAGCTTGGACAAGGAACCAATGGAATAGCACTTATCTTGGTGAATTGGCTTTTCCCAGTTCCAGTCCGTTTTCATTGTTCGCCAGCTGACTAACTCTGAGTTCTGGGTCCTTGGGACAATCTTTTCATGATGGCTACACATCTAGCTCCAGACCAAAATTGTACCCTATGAAACACTCAACTGAACCACAGACTAATTGCTGAATTTCTTTAATATGTTATTCTAAAGCCTCTTGACTTAAGGTCCAACAACTCTCATTGTTACTTTTATACCCTGACTTATCCAATCCCACTTTTTTTCTATACCAAAAGGTAGGTCAGACATTCCGAAGGTTTTGTTCATCTGGACACACTGTGAGATCGTTAGAGCAATGGGTATAGGCAAAAGTTTCATGGGCTGGATCCCAGTGCGTGCAAGGCTGAGACCCTCTCTTCTAGCTCATGTTTTTTTGGGGTTTCCTTTTGGCTGCATTGGGTATTTGTTGCTGCATGCGGGCTTTTCTCTAGTCGAGGCGAGTGGGGGCTACTAACTACAAATAAGTTCAGTTAAATAAAAACTCTTACGTACGTTAGGGTTGTTTCCATTCTCCAGACTTGCTCGAGGTCTTCATCAGGGTCCTTGAATCCAGTAAAGGAGTAGTAAGACTTGTCCCATTTGATGGGCCTGTCAGATATCCTTGTGGCCTCTTTGAGAGGCTGGGAGTGCACATTAGTATTCAAGCTTTGGATATGTTCAATAGATAAACTGCAGGAGTTGAGAATATATAACACTGTGCTTAGCAGATCTCTGGTGTGCAAAGTAAATTTGACTGCTCGAAATCCTAGAGAATATAATTCCCCCAAACAGTTAATACAGAGGATTATTTGCTTTACTTGAAAAACATTTCTTTTCATACAACATTTATAGAATCAAAATCTTTAGAACACTCCATTACTCATTAAAATTCATCCTATTGGAAAATCATCTGTAAATGGAAAACTACATCCCTTCTCCAAAACTGTACCACACTACCTCCATCTTCATGAAGTCCTCTGTCAGCTCCCGTTTCTAGTTTGGCGCCAGTGACCAAACCCACGCCAGCCCAAGAAGGGGATTGAGAATATTTTCAATGCTGTTCATAAATTTGGTCTCTACAGTCTAAGGGATGGAAAAGCTCTCCTATGAGCAAGTGTCCACCAGAGAGGGTGTCCAGCACTAAAGAGAAGGGGGAGGGTGGAGGTAGGGGGAGGGGGGGCAGGCTGCCCTGCTTCAGTGGTTCAAGGAGGGGGGCCAATCCAGTCTCAGGGGTCACAGAAACCCATCTCAAATTTTCTCTACGGTTGAAAGAGACTGTCCTCATACTCCCCCCTCCAACTAGCTAGGGACACAATATTTTCAGAAGTGACTCAAAGTTCCCTAATTTTTTAAAAGTTAGCACTTCACAATCTGACTTTAATGCAAGTAGTCCCTGGGCTCAGGGTAGTAATCTAACTTACGTCAACAGTAGGAAATCTACTGGTTCCCCTGCACCTTTATTGGGTATTAAACATGGCGCTAGTAGAATGTACATAACTTTTCAATGAACACTCTCACCAGTGCCACTATTATCTCTCTTTTGAAACGTGAAGAAGCGGAGGTTCAAGGAGGTTAAGAAGCGTGAAGTGAGGGCTGAGATCTGAGCTGCCAGCAAGCGAAGCATTTTCCCCATCATAACATGCTGGCTCGTTTGTCTTTCTTTGGAAAAGTTTTTTAAATTGGTTTTGAAAATTATACAAGTGTTATATAAGTACATCCTTCTTGTACAATTATATATACAAAGTAAAAGTCTCCTGTTGACAGGCACACAACCTCACACTTGCACTAGATGTAACCCCATTAACATTTAGGTACACAAGCATTGAGACCTGCACTGCCTCATACGGTAGCTACCAGCCATATGTGGCTATTTATGGGTAAAATTAAATTGATTGAAATTAAATACAATTTAAAATTCAGTTCCTGGTCATACTAGCCCCACTTCAAGTGGTCAGTAGCCACATGGGGCTAGTGCCAGCTGTACCAGACAGCGCTCATACAGAACAGTTACCTCTCCGCAGAAAGTTCTCTTGGACAGCACTGCTCTAGCCCTTTCCTATGTGCTTTGTGTGTATGTTATATATGACATATACGCTTTTGTGTCTGCATGAACACACACCCACAGTGTGATTTGTTCCTTTTTAACATATAAACTGCACCATTCTGGATCTATTACTTTGAACTTGCTTTTGTTATTTAACCTTGGTGACTCTTCCATTATCTGTATGTATACATCATTCTCTTTCTTTTTAGTAGCTCTACACTAATCCACATAATTAATGTAGCACAATTTATTTAACACTGCCAAAACTGATGACTATAAAAGTTCTTTTTAATTTTTCACCATTCCACAGAAGGCCGAAATGTGTTTTCTTGTCTTTGCCACGGATGAAAGTCATTGCAATATAAATCATTCACAGAGATACCTACTATGCCAGCCACATAGATTTACAAAATGTAGAACATGCAAACTAAGAAAGATCTTTTCGTTGAATCATTGACGGTAAAGTGAGAAATACTGGTAGGAAAATTGTTCTAGTCAGTGAAAGAGGAAAGGAAAATGCAAATTCCTGCAATTGAGGTTAGGAAAAAATAGTTTATCCTCAGAAGAGGTAAGTCAAGGAATAAATCTCAGTTTCTCTCTTAATTTATCAATTCCATTAATTGTTTAATCCAAGGTAAGGGCTGCTATATAGTGTGGAATGCCTGTACCAGATTGGATATATCCTTTATTGGAAAATATTACCTAATTAATTTAGTTTGCATTTGATTACTGAGGCTAAACGTTTTTGTATCTTATTGGCTATATATGTGTATTATTTACTGAACTGCCGAGACATTGTGTTTGCCCATTTTTGCAACCAGGCTGCTCTGTTTTCTTTTTGACTCCTAAGAACTACTTATATACTAACATTATCTTTTTGTCACTTATGCTGTATGTTTTCTCCCATTTTTAATTTATTTTTTTATAATCTATTTTCATTTAACAAATGGTTCAAAGTTAACCATTAACTGAAAGTGGAGGATTTTTCTCTTTACTCAGCCAGAGCTCACGACAGCTATTTGTTTTAGCATTAGTTCACAGAAAGCTCTTAGTAAATCTTTAAACTGTTTTAAAGTTCATTCTAAAAATAAAGTTATTTCCTCAAGGATCATGAAAAGCATGGACAGACCCACATTCATCCTTAGTTTAAAGGATCACTGGATCATGGCTAAAGCAGTGACAAAGGATAAAACAGAAGGCTGTACAGGAAGACTGATCAGATTTTAGAAACAGCATGAGGCTGGAGTTAAAGGGCTCAAGACCCCTATTCTGTCTCCATGGTCCTGGGACATTACTAAGTTACAACTAGGCAAATACTACCTTCCTCACAGGGTACTTTGAGGACTGAATTAGAGAATGTAAGCTATATTTTTTAAAGATGTAAATTGTTATATAGACATTTAATACTTAAAACAGCACTGAAATAGGAAGGGGACAAATAGGAACACTTCAGTTTTCTAGTCAGAAAAGTTTAAACATAAAAAATGGCTCATCAAACACATGCAACCAGGAACAGAATCTAACTCCAAGAAAACATGCAATTAAATGATATTATTTTCTATGACAAGGCTTCAACCCGAAGGTCTTCTAGCAACGTTAGACAGATTTGACACATCACACCAAGCCTGCAAGGGACACACGAGAAATAAGAAACGTACCGGAAGTGCTGAAGTGTTCCTGGCCATCAGAGGAGTTCTGGTCTGTTTCTCTTACATAAAACATAAGCTGGGTTGGTTTCAAAGACTTGAAGCCTGGTTTCTGGAGGTTTTCTAAGTAGGCACTTAATCTCTTAAGAGAATTTTCATTGACTTCCTGGAAAACAATATTAAGAGGCATTTATACACAAAATAGAACAAGGAAACGTCAGAAATTATATCCCGACCTTTTAAACACATTATTGAGTATATTAAAGAATTTAGTATTTTAAAATGGTGGGCTTTCATAGCTCCTCAGTACAGGATAAAATTGGATCCACCCCTTACAACATGGAACTCCATAGGGATGAGATGTGTAAAAAAAAAAAAATGTGGCCACGTAAGTACTAGAAGAAAACATGGCTGAGTTTCTTTATAACTTAGATGTGGAAAAAGCCTAACTATGGCTGAATATCCCAGGTAATGAATGATTGATAAATCCAATTACATAAAAAAATTTAAAAACTTAATATAGCACAGGGAACTATATTCAATATCTTGTGATGAACCATAATGGAAAAGAATATAAATACATATATATGTATAACAATCACTGTGCTGTACGGCAGAAATTAACACATTGTAAATCAACTATACTTACATTAAAAAAAAAACTTAAGAACACATAAAAAACCAAAAAAACCACACACACACACACACACACACACACACACACACACACACACACACTAAGCAGTCTACAGACAAAAACCGAGTAGAAGAAAATATGTGCAAGTTCTTTCTTTTCTTTTTCTTTTTTGGCCGCCCTGTGCAGCTTGTGGGATCTTACTTCCCCGACCTGGGATTGAACCCAGGCCCACCGCAGTGAAAGCACCAAGTCCTAACCACTGGACCACCAGGGAATTCCCCAATTTGCAAGTTATTTCATAGCAAAGAGCTAATTTCTCTCTATATAAAGGGCTCTTAAAATGACCTTTCAGAGATTGGTTGAATTATGGTATCTTCATTCAATGGAGTGCTACACAACCAAAAGGAAAAAAAAGGGAAAGAGTATGACACAGACGGTATTTAGGAATGTACACAGAGTGATCTCTAGGATGTACTGTTAAGTGAAAAAAGAAATGTCTTTTAGTGAAGGAACAGTTCCAAGAAATGGCATAAATAATAACTGTGCTTCTTATCCCTATAGGTCTCTTCTCAGAAACACAGTGTGATCTGAAATTAGGAACAGTTTGTTTGTTTTTGTTTGTTGAATTTAGTACAATATACCGCTCTCAGCTATATTGTGTTGGGGGTTTGATGATTCACTAGAAGGATTTACAGAACTCAGAAAAGCTGTTATACTCACAGTTACAGTTTATAACAGCAAAAGGATACAGATTAACATCAGCAAAGGGAAAAGGCATGTAAGGTGGAGTCCCGTAGGGACCAAGCGCAAGGTTCCAGTTGTTCTCTCCCAGGGGAGTTGTACAGACAGTGCTTAAGCCCCCAGCAAGGATATGTGACAACACATGAGAAGTGCTGCCAACCAAGGAAGCTCATCCAAGCCTTGGGGGCCAGGGCTTTTACTGGGGCACTACATGCCCACATGACTGACCATAGCTATGCAGTCTCCAGCCTCCCCAGAGGGCCTCAGACATGAGAAAACAGGCATTCACCATAAAATACATTGTTAGCATAAACTATCTGGTGTGGCCCAAGGCCCCGGCACACAAAAACATTCTTATCAGGCCAGGATATCCCAGGGGCTCAGAGCGCATCTCCCAGGAGGCAGTGAAGGGCCAGCACTGAAGCCTGGCATTTCTTTGCAACAAAGCAACCCAAGCCTGCTGAGTTCACCTTTTATAGCACACAGAAGTTTTAGTAAAAAAAAAAAAGGTACACTTGTAGAGGAGGGAACCCAGTCACCTAGTACTAAGCTTAATTTTTCCTCACACGTTGGATTTAAAAACTTTACATTATTAAACATTAAATTAAATTGTGTTAATTTATGACACCCCCAATAATTTGTATTAAATTATTACATCTCCAAGGTAGTATTTTTCTGTTGATTCAATTTACTAATTACTTAAAAAGTATATGACTTCGAATAGCCTATATATATATATATATATATATATATCAACTATCATAAACAGAATATTTTCCTAAAGCAAAGAAGCAAAACTGATTTATTTTCCATGGCAAGTAGAAAAAAGCAATACAGGAAATTCCCTGGCGGTCCAGTGGTTAGGACTCCTCGCTTAGTTGGGGAACTAAGATCGTGCAAGCCGCAAGGCATGCCCCCCCACCCCCAAAAAACGGGGAGAAGCAACACAATAATGTTCTAATTTTCAAGAGTTTTAAATTCCTTTTCATGTTAAACCAGGTGTCAATGTTAAGGAAGATAAAAGGAACCAATGAAATTATTCCAAAGCATCTGGCTTTGTAATATATTATCTAACATTAAAAAATAGTGACCTTCCTAACTAAGTTCATCATGAGTTTGTATTCCTTGAGAAGACATTAACTGATGATATAGGGAAGTGGACCAGCAGCATGCAACATAAGGAAAAACTATTTGGGCACTGAAAAACCCTCCTTGCATCAACCTTAAAAAAAAAGGACTGATTTGGGTATCAGAGCCCTTAAATTTTCCTTCAAACCCTCAATTTTACTTTCAAACCTGGTACAGAAAATATGATTACTAATACTCTAAGGAGTTTACATGATATCTTTATTGCCTGCATAAAACATGACAGCTTTCATTAAAAAAAAACAATAGTTTTAGTTTCAATTTTCAGTATCTATAGTTCAAAGCACTGATTATTCCACCGTGACAAAACAACCCCAATTTATAGAACTCTCTGTATTATACTGTAGCAAAGGTAAATAAACTAAACAAAAACATAGACTAAATGCTAAAAAGTAAAAAAATAATTGTTTACCCTTTCCCTGGGGTGCTGTCCAAAGAAATCTGGATGTACAGCAAAATAGAATGGCCTCAAGGCATTGACTGCTTCAGCTCCCGATAAAGCTCTTGAGTAGAGAAACCAGTATGGAAATATCTTTCCTGGACATAACCTTTTTAAAAGATATGGATTTATTATTCACCAGAGCACTGACATGGACACAAATCCCCCGTGTATAAAGTGACAGTAGCATTAAGATTATTGTGTATGGAAAATACCGTAGAAATAAGACAGAAACCAAAGTGTAACATTTTGTGGGGGTTTTGAAATCTACAAAAGTTTTGAAAGCAGTGAGTCCCACATGATTTCTTTTTTCTTTTTTTAAAATTTACTTTTTTGGGGCTGCACTGGGTCTTAGTTGTGGCACGCGGGATCTTTCGTTGTGGTGCACAGGCTCCAGAGTACACAGGCTCAGTAGTTGCGGCGCGCAGGCCCTAGAGCGCAAGTGGGCTTCAGTAGTTGTGGCGCATGGGCTCAGTAGTTGCGGCATGTGGGCTTAGTTGCTCCGTGGCATGTGGGATCTTCCCGGACCAGGGATTGAACCCGTGTCCCCTGCATTGGCAGGCGGATTCTTAACCACTCCGCCACCAGGGAAGTCCCAAGACATTCCTTTTAACAATGACTATTTACTAAGACATTCATGTACATAATAGTTAATTAAAAGTACTAATTATTGCCAAATATGTTTTAGAAATCTAAAACTTCACATGTCATTTTTATGGAACAGATCCAATTTTATTTTGGTTATATACTTTGAGCCAAATAAACACTTTATTTATCTCTTTTGACTTGGCTACCAAGAAGCCAGAATGAAATTTGATGTTTGAATAATTGTCTCATCAGTTCTATTTTTTTAACAAATGATCTTTCTCTAGAGGGTATCTGGTCTCCATTTTGATTACCCTATATATGCCTATTACTGTGCCAATTAAATTTTACTGAACTCCTTAAATCCTTTCTTGAAGTAGAAAGGGTTTAGACTATCTACTCTTTACTACATAAATAGCAAATATGATAGTCAAATGACCTTACTATACAATTTAAATGTAACGTGGTTTTCTATATGACGGCAATAGACTTGAGGGCAACATGGTAATAAGAACTGTGCTAAGGACAAACTTTATCTTTTTTTCCTCTTAAACTTTTCACACTGAACTATTTTGAAAGATGGTATTCTTTTCACCTTCTACTCTGAATGGACTCTTGGGAGAATGGACCTGGATGTTCACATGAATTTTCTGTTTCTTTTTTTATTCCTGCCCTCCACCATATTATCCATTATATTATCCATTATTAATTAATAATGGATATATTATCCATATTATTATATCCATTAATAATGGATATATTATCCATATTATCCATTATCCACAAAATAGTTAGAATTTGATAAATTATAATAAATTGAAATTAGCTAAACACCTAACAGATTCCACACCCCTCCACCCCAACAAATACTAATAACAGATGGAACCACAAAGCTTACCTCGTCACAGGTCTCAGGTGGCAAAACATTTCTGAATATATATGTAGGTCAACTTCCAGGCATCCATTAATCACTTAAAAAGTTAAGCAGATACCAGTAATGAACAAGTGGAATTTGAAATTAAAAACACATTACCATTTACATTAGCACCCCCCCAAAATGAAATACTTAGTTATAAATCTGACAAAATATGTACAAGATCTATATGAGGAAAACTGTAAAACTCTGATGAAAGAAATCAAAGAAGAATTAAATAAATGGAGAGATATTCCATGTTCATGGATAGGAAGACTTGATATTGTCAAGATGTCAATTCTTTCCAACTTGATCTACAGATTCAATGCAATCCCAATCAAAATCCCAGTAAGTTATTTTATGGAAATCAACAAACTCATTCTAAAGTTTATATGTAGAGGCAAAAGACTCAGAATAGCCAACTCAATACCAAAGAAGAATAAAGTTGGAGGACTGACACTACTGGACTTCAAGACTTACTGTAAAGTTACAGTAATCAAGACAGTGTGGTACTGGTGAAAGAACAGACAAATAGATCAATGGGACAGAATAGAGAGCCCAGAAATAGACCTACAAAAATACAGCCAACTTATCTTTGACAAGGAGCAAAGGCAATACTATGGAGCAACAATAATCTTTTCAACAAATGGTACAGGAACAACTGGACATCTACATGCAAAAATATTAATCTAGTCACAGACCTTACACCCTTCATAAAAGTTAACTCAAAATGGATCAAAGACCTAAATGTAAAACAAAAATACTATAAAATTCCTAGAAGAGTACCTAGGAGAAAACTTAGATGACTTAAGGTATGTCAGTGACTTTTTAGATACAACACCAGACACATGATCCATGAAGGAAAAGAATTGATATACTGAATTTCATTAAAATTAAAAATTTTGCTCTGCAAAAGACAATGTAGAGAGAACAAGAGGACAAGCCACAGACTGGGAGAAAATATTTGTAAAAGATACACATATCTGACAAAGGACTGCTATCCAAAATATACAAAAAACATTTAAAACTCAACAATAAGAAAATGGACAACCTGATTAAAAAAATGGGCCAAACACCTGAACAGACACCTCCTGCAAGAAGATATACAGATGGCGAATAAGCATATGAAAATACACTCCACATCATAGGTCATCAGGGAAATGCAAATTAAAACTATGAGATACTGCAACACACCTATTAGAATGGCCAAATCCAAAACACCAACAACACCAAATGCTGGTGAGGATGTGGAGCAACAGGAACTCTCGTTCATTGCTAGTGGGAATGCAAAATGATACAGCCACTTTGGAAGACAGTTTGGGGCTTTCTTACAAAACTAAACATACTCTTACCATATGATCCAGCAACTACCCTCCTTAGTATTTACCCAAATGAACTGAAAACTTGTCTACACACAAACCTGCACACGGATGTTTATTGTGGCTTTATTCTTAATTGCCAAAACTTGGAAGCAACCAAGATATCCTTCAGTAGGTGAGTGGATAAACTGTAGTACATCCGGCCAACTGAATATTATTCATTGCCAAAAAGAAATGAGCTATCAAGCCATGAAGAGACATTGAGGAAATTTAAATGCATATTACTCAGCAAAAGAAGCCAATCTGGAAATATTATATACTGTATGATTCCAGCTCTATGACATTCTGGAAAAGGCAAAACTATGGTGATAGTAAAAAGATCAGTGGTTGCCAGGGGTTGGAGGAGAGGGAGGGATGAATAGGTGGAACACAGAGGATTTTTAGGACAGTGAAACTCTCTGTATAGTAATACTACAATGGTAGGTACATGTCATTATACATTTGTCCAAACCCGTGGAATGTACAACACCAAGAGTGAACCCTAATGTAAACTATGGACTTTGGGCAAGAATGAAGTGTCGATTTAAGTTCATCGATTGTAACAAATGTACAACTCAGATGTGGGAGGCTGTGTGTGGGGAGGGGGTATGTGGGAACTCGTACTTTGGTCAGTTTTGCTGTGAACCTAAAACTGCTCTAAAAAATAAAACTTATTTTTTTTAAAAGGTTAAGCAGATAAAAGGGGGAACATGATTTGAATCACATGGACTTTTCCAATAATTTAGAGCTTCAGCAAGAATTTCAACTATACTATAGTCTCCATGTCAACTGACCAAATGATTTTAAAAATTCTATGAGCAACCTGTCTTGAAATGCCATATTATTCACATGATAATCACCACGTAAAAAATTCTTTCTTCCCCCGGCTTATGAAGCTCTGAGCCTGTGGAAGAGTGTATTTGCTCAAAACAAACCACCACGTGGCTCAAGTCCTATTCTGTCAAATCTTAAGAACTAAAAAGTTTAAAAAATTTTTTCATAATGCAGTTAATATACCTGAACCAAGGTAATGAAGGAAAACTGCCATTAACAGGATAATAGAAAGATATATTTAAAAGACAATTCAAGAATTACCTATTTAAAAAGTGCATTTGCAAACAACAGTGGGTGCTTCCATTCATTTTCTGGTTGGCTGGTGTGGCAAGACCCTCTTGGATACAGAATGTGTTTATAGGTATTCATTTAAATGTTTAAAAACGTGATTTTTATTTAACCCTTCACCTTGCTATTTTGTTTGAGACAAATACGGATACCAGAAATACTCCTACCATTTGGAAAATTTCTGAGATTAAATGGAGATACAATGAGGAAGAAAGAACCATTTTGACTAAAGTTTCAGTGCTGCCCATGACCGACTGAATTCTCACTAAATGTCATCATGAAGTAACTGAACAATCTCGACTTAGTAAGACAGAACAGGTACAAGCCTCCAAGCTTGCAAAGAAGAGACCAGAAGAATATACATATCCAATCCAGCACTGGCTCTCTTTAGGTGGTAGGATAGGAAGCCCTTTACTTTTTTTTATTTCCTAGTTTATTTACAATGAGCACGCGAAGTATGCTCTTAAAAAAAAAAAAAATCAATGCTTCTAGCATACAAAATTAAACAATGAAAAGGAATAGAGCAGGTACGTGTTGTTCATTCAGTATTTAAGACAGGCCCCTGGCCCTGGGAAATCTGTCCAGTGACGGCCCTGGACTGTGATTCCAATCTAGCTCAAGAAGAAAACAGCCCCTCATCTTCACACACAATGACATTTCATTTTTAATATTAGTAAGAAAATTTATGCCACTTAACTGCAAAGATGCTAATAAATGAGCTAAAACTTGGGTAAGAAACAAGGAATAATACTCGAGGGGCATATGATCAACCAAGAATATGAATGGGCAAGAGATGAAAATAATATGCAGCCAAGTTCTAACCATCATCCTTTTCAGCATAAAATGATCTTATAAGAAGCCTTGAAAAGTCAGAAGTACTGAACTAAGTAGGCCTAGAACTTAGGCCTACCATTGCAACAATGATGTAACCTGTTTTAATGGTCTGTTGCAGCAGCATTTTAGAAGTTCATGAAATCACAAGGTCTCCATCTGATGTGCAATGTAGGTGATCCAAGTCATACTCTACTCCCCATTTTCCAAAGCAAGACATCAAAACAAATAAAACAGTGAAAAGGAACTGTCATGATCACTGATTTGAAACAGAAGTTAAAGCACACTAAAAAGACAATAAAATTTTTGGAAGTCGATTTAGAAAAGACTGGCTGTCTCCAATTTGATTCACAAAGAATTTGAGAGGCAGGCAGCCAAGTTACACTGTTTAGAAATGTACATATCTAAACATCTATAAATAAGAATTGTTAGGAAGGATTTCCCTGGAGTCCAGTGGTTAGGACTCGGTGCTTCCACTGCAGAGGGCGCGGGTTCCATCCCTGGTTGGGGAACTAAGATACTACAAGCCATGTGGCCAGGCCACAAAAAAAAAAAAAAATTGTTAGGAAAAGCTGATTTAGCGATTCATCTTAAGAGTTACTTCAGAATTAGTCTCCAAAGAGTCACTCACAGCAAAGTTGCAAAAATTAGGGATTGTATCCTCAGTGACTTTCAAACATGGAGCATAAAGTATGTTATGCAGAGAATTATAGAGCATGTTTTAGAAGTGATTCTGTCAAAAATAATCAAAGCCAAAAAAAAAAAAGTTTCTGTATTTAAAAGTCCGGGTCTTCAGTTGTCCAGAAAAATAATTCATTCATTGTTCACTCTGTAATCATAGGGTATAATTAAACTTAGTACTGAGCAATGACTAAAAAAAGGACATTAATACTTGGAAGAGTGACAAGAGATTCTCCCAATGAAAATAAAATGTTCTCAAATACAAGTCTGAACATTAAATCATGGTTTCTAGATTTAGAAAGAACTTAAAAAAAAATTAGGCTACTATAGGTTAAGAGTTAGGTATTTTCTGCCTGCTTTTTTGGTGAGTTGCCTATTTCCTAAAAAGGTTCACACTGCAGTAAAGAGAATTCGAATCTAGACTTGTGCTGCCTAATAAGGGAGCCCCTAGCACATGTGGCTACTGTGAACTGAGACGTGTTTTAAGTGTAAAGTACCCATTGGATTTTAAAGATTTAGTATGAAGAAAATGCAAAGTATCCCATTAATAATTTTTTATCCTGATTAGATGTTGAAATGATAATTTATTAATTTCACTTGTTTCTTTTTGCTTTTTTAAAAGCAAAACACGACCTGGTCTTTTGTGATTTACTACCAGAAAAATTTAAATTACATCTGTGGCTCATATTGTATTTCTGTTGGATGGCGCTGATCTAGGCCAATTCAAGGCAAATTTAAGTGAACATGACACTGTCAGGGAAAGCTCAGTAACTGTGGCGCACGGCCTGTTGCTCCACAGCATGTGGGATCTTCCCGGCCCAGGGCTCGAAACCATGTCCCCTGAATTGGCTGGCGGATTCTTAACCACTGCGCCACCAGGGAAGTCCTGTGCTGTTTAAAGTGAGGCATTACATCTTCTAGGCAGTTTCAGATCAAATTGAGTAGAAAGAGATATCTAAATTGGTGGAAAAGCCAAATTATGGGTAGTCTAAGAAGTTTTGTTTAAATTACATTCGATAGAAACCACGTTTGCCACACAGAGGTCCTAGTAACTTATTTGAACAGAGTTAATATCCTCAGGCTACTCTCATTTAAACTGTGACTTTCCTTAGTAACTATCTTGTAAGGTTTTAAAAAGTAGTTTGTTCTATCAAGGAGAGAGAAAATCAGGCAATATTTCACTGCTCTTCGGTTTAACACTTCTTAGGGAAGGGAAAAAGCAGGAAGCCCTTTAGATAAATTAATAAATTGCAGCAAAGCAAAGTATCAAGGGTTTTTAAGCTTCCTTTTGTAAATCTTTTGCTATGAGATTTGAATCATAACCATATCCTAGGATAAGTCAAAGACTTCGGGGAAATATAATAGTCGGAAACAAAACCTAAATCGTCTCAGGTTTCTCATTTCAAAACAAGTTAAAACAGATACTATGCGGGCGCTCCGATCCCGGCACTGCCTGGGTTCAAAAGTTAGCACGTCGAGCTAAGGCGACTCTGATCTCTGCCCACCCCGACCCCCACCCCCACCCTCGCTTCTGCCCCGAGCAGCCTGAAAGCACAAATGGAGCCCCTCTCGTCCTGCTCCTTACAGTTCTGGCAAGGGTCCGCCGCGAGGGCTTCCTCCTACCTGCTCCACCTCCCACCAGGTACCAGGAGGAAGGACGGTCGATCCTCTCGCAGGGCTCTGCAAGGGTGCGCTGGGCCAGGCAGGAGCGCATGCGCACCGGGGCGCCAGCCCGGCCAACGAGCGCGCGCCGCCGGGCCGGAGCTCCCGCCCGCTCTCGCCCCACCTGACGACAGGCTCTGACAGGCTCCTACCCGCGGTGCTGAGTCCCCACCCGAGAAATCTCAGCTGGGCGCGTACTGCTCCACCCGTCCGTCGGCGCCTGCCGCAGAGGCTTGCTCGAGAGGAGTCCGGGCTCTGGGTCGGGCCGCAGGTCGCGCTCTCATTGGCTGAAGCGTGCCAGGCCTTCCTCTCTGGGGCGCCTGCGCACAGCCCCAGGACGCGGCTTAAAAGCCTAGCGGTTCTCAGCCCCACCCTGACGTCAGCAACTAGGTGAACGCCAGCCTTCTCGCAGCGTGGAAGCTCCCGTCCCTCCGTCTTCTTACGGTCCGGCCCGGAGCGGGCTCTGCGCACTCAGCTGAAAGCTTTAGAAGGCGCGAATGAGCGCTAAGGGATAGGAAGGACTAGGCGGGAGGGGGTCGGAAAATGGGCGGCAGGTGGCCGGGCCTGGACCGAGGGTTGGTGGGGAGGGCAAGGAAAGAAGGACGACCGAGCGTGCGCATGCGCCGGCCCGCTTTCCGCGCCAGCCAGCTTTCCTCGCCAGCCAGCTTTCCTCCCCGGCCCGGGTCCCCCAACCCCCGGCGCCTGGGAGGGGAAGAGGCTGGCTTGGCGGATCAGTCCGTAGAGCGTTCGGAGCTGACGCCTTAGAACGACTCTCGCTTGAGACCTCCAGGTTTTAAAGGTCTTACTGAGTATAGCCTTTGGCTTTCTTTACATAAATACAGCTAATTAAAACTATTTTCTCCGGTTTGTATTTTCCTTTTGACTTTGGCCCTTAAGGAATTCTCCACTATCAGCTTGGGGTTTCTACTGTTAGCTGTATTTCGCTTCTATGACTTTGGTTATTCCCATAAACTGCCACAGATGGAGTAAGACAAATACAATAACCGCTCTTTTCCTACCTTTTGGCACCGTTGACCGAGGTGGGGGGAAAAAAAACAACCCCAAACCAAAAAATACCCCCAGAATACCAAAAAACAAAACAAACAAAACAACCAACCTCCCTTTGTTCCAGCCCTAAGGGTTCTTGACTTATCATTCATTAGAAACCATCTGGTCAATTTGTGGTTCGTTCCATCCAATCCCATTTTTCCTAAAAGCTTAATTTATCATCTTTCGCATCTTCATCCTTTCAAATACATCCTTGCCACCAGCATAATGTTATAATTGCCCACTTACCGTTCTTCACTTGTCCTCAAAGGCACTTCAAACTGATGGTGGTAATCTCCGAACCCAATTTATTTCTTAGGTGCTGAATTTCAGTAATGGCAGTTAGTCACCCAATTTGTTCATACTAGAGAACTGGGCCTCTTTTTTATTTTTTTATTTTTTATTATTTTGGGGGGGGGCCTCTTTCTTGATGTCTACTTATGCCTTACTTCCCATATCCCATTCATGAGAGTATTCATTCCACATTTTATCATAGTAAGGCATTCTGCTAAGCGCTAGGTTTTAACTTTTTTATTCTTGTGAGGTTATAGACTTATTCCAGTGATGCTGCCATTACCATATTTTGGGAACCCCTTTAAGAAATACTTTCAGTCTCCTTAGTTACCAGTTACTCTTTTATTACTCCCCTTACTCAGACATTTTCTCTAAATGATTTAAATTATGGTTTAAAGTATCAAATCTAAAGTATCAAATTAAGGATTAAGGATGACCACCTTGGAGAATGACTGCTACAGATTCTGCAGATGGGTTCAGAAAAGAAGCTTAAACTTCCCAAGGTGGCTTGAAAAGTACAAGTCTTGTTTGGATAGGTTCTGGTATATTTGTTTAAAATACTGATTACTTTAGTCATACCTAATGTAATGTACATAAATTACAAATTTTCAAGATACATATAGTATTTTAAGATACACTAAAGGAAAACTTTAGAGAATAATTTAAAATTTCTGGTATAACTCAGAAGGTACTCTGGAATTTTAGTGTTTGAGTCATTTTCCAGTATTATTTTACTATTCTATTTTACAAATGTACAATAGGCTTTAGAGACTGGACTGAGTGCTCACCAAATCTACTTCATAACCCTAAAGGTTGTTCTGAAAGCTCCAGACACCTGCTTGAATATTTTCCCCTTTATGTCTCCCTCTTATTAAATGCTGCACAATACTCAGTTTGTGATTTGTCATTGTTTGGATTTCAGAATAAATTGGGATTCACCATATTAGATTTACCTAAATTAAAGAGATGTCAAAAAGTAATCTGAAAAATCATTTGCAGTATGGGTAAAACTGTTATAAATTGCATACCTCAAAATTTTTAGTGTTTGAAAGCTACTGACGTACTATAAATCAATAAAGAGCAAAAGCTGAATATAGTGAAAACTGTCTTTATTTTCATCAATGATTACTTGAACTTAAAAAAAAAAAAGCCTTTAATAACTAATGGTTACTGAAAAGCCAAACCTTTCCAGCCCACTTCATATTCTCTTTCAACCATTTCAGGGCAGAACAATGTTCCAAACTATAAACCTGTTCCTTATTAACATTGACGGTCATGTGCTTAATGAAGAGCTTTGGATCTGATATACGAGCAGCCATAATTAATCTTTCCACTGCAGCTTGATAATCATCCTTGCTCCAAGATTTGTTTTCTTCACATCTACAAAGTGAACACCTCACAAAGTCAGAAACTCTAAAAAGAAGCTATATAGTTTCTTCAAAAGATAGTAATTTACATTTATTGGTTCTAAGCTATGACAGTCCCCGCGTCCCCTGCATCTGCAGGCAGACTCTCAACCACTGCGCCACCAGGGAAGCCCCTTTTTACTCTAACAGTGGCTTTCAAACTTGTTTGACCATGACACACAGTAATAAAGACATTTTATATTGTGACCCAATATATACCTGCATACATAAAAACTGAAAAGTTTCACAAAACAAGACTTACCCTTATGACCCTATTTTCTATTGTTTCATTTTTTTAAAATAAAATGGTTGCAACCCCCTAAACTGATTTCACTACACAAATGGGCCACAACCCGCAGTTTGGAAACACTGATCTAGAACACAACTAATAACCTCTCTCTTTGTATTTTCAAATTAACAACTGTATAATTATTCATTATAATTCATAAAAGAATAGTAAATTTAATCGAGTTTGGAGTTACTAACATTCATGTGTTTTACCTTGATATGGCTATTTTAAATTATAAGCATATACTTAATTTGTAGCTCACATCTGGTAACAGAAATTGTAGCTGTATGCCTTTATACTAAATTTTTATAGTATAATATTATAGTATATTATATAGTATATACATACTATAATATAGTATATTATATAGTATATATATATACTATAATATACTATATTATAGTATACTATAATATTTATAGTATATTCATATCTGAATAACTTTCTACTATTTTCAGTCCTGATTTAAGGTACTTCACTAAAGTGCTGGAATTTTAAAATAACTTATCTAACAGTCACCAAATTTCATAAAACTCATACCTTATGGCTGTTTCTCCTATGAGATAGGGAGTAAGAAGTATATAAAATAGAGATGTAGCTGTTATTAGGCATCACTTTCTCTCTGTGTTCACTGCATCCTGCTCTGGGCACCTAAAAGGCTCAGCAGCAAGGCCCGAGTATGAGCCTACCTGTGTTAGCACAACAGTGTGGTCTACAGAGTGGTGGGAGTAAGGACTTCCACTTTGAACAGGAATCAGTGATCATAGAGAGCAAAGATTGGTCAGGCCGCTTCTAGTACATTCTGGCTTAGGATTGGTGCCTGAAATCTGGTAGACTGGGCATACACCAACTATATGCAGTTTCTGAAAGTCTTAAGATGAATAAAAACTCTCTCAGAGGTTAATGTAACAAAGCAGGGCTTGGTATGATAACAGTAATGGAGAAAACAATATTGGTTAGGACAAAATGGAAGATCCAGGCATGTCACTAGTTATGTGCTGGCATCACAAATACCCCACAAATTCAATAATGAATAAACAGACTGCATATTTGGGGAATGGAAAGTTATGAGAAAACCAAACCCTCATTAGGATAATGGAGAGCCCAAATGCCTCACGCAACTGTAGTGCATAGTTGTAAACAGAAGGCCCTCAGGGAAATTAACAAAATTAACAAATTTTGTTAATTTTTTAAACCCACTAAAATTAACAAAAAAGCTAATTTTAGTGGGTTTAAAAAAAAAAGGTGGACCTAAAATAAATTCTCCTCCCCTTAAGTGTAGGCTGGATTGAATGACTTGTTTATCTCCAATAAATAGAGCAGAAATGATGCACAACTTTGGACACTAGATTGTTAGGTATCAATTTTCATGGTCCCTTGCATTTCTGGAAGTTCTGAGAGCAGAAACACTGATTACCCCTTGTTCCAGATTTCAAGGATGTTTAATATAGTGGACAACCTTGAAAGACAAAGATAGTTTCTCCTTCAGGAGCAAAAGACAGGTTTGCTTACAGCCTTACAAGGTGGAGATAGCGTTTCCATCTGAAGAGCAAGGGACAGGTATGTTTATTACCCATTGTAAAAGATTAGGGTTCCTAAGTTCAGGATTCCTCTCATGTAATGGAACCCACTGCATGTGCAGGTATCCATCTGGGCCCAAGTGTGGAACCTGGGAGCAAGAGGAAGAGATACAAATATGCAGATAACCATGCTGCTTGCTGTGCCACGAGTAATAAAGTCCTGTCTCCAACCCAGGAGGTCTTGTGTCTTATGCCAGGATCCGTGAAACTATGGCAGGCTGACTTACAGCCTGCAAATGGGGTGGAATCTCAGAGCCTTCACAGTTCTTGATGTAAGATCACAAAAGGCACTGCAGCTTCCTCCTTGTGTTCTCTCTCCTGGATCACTCACTCTGAGAGAAGTTAGCTGTTGTGTCATGAAGACACTTAAGGAACCTATGGAGGGGCCCATGTGGTGAGGAGCTGAGGCTTCTTGCCAACAGGCATGAGTGAGCCAGCTGGGAAACGGATCCTCCGGCCACAGTGAAGCCATCAAGTAGGTGACTGCAGGTCCTGACCACATCCTGAGTCCAGTGACATGAGAGACCCCTAGCCACAACCATCTGGCTAAGCTACTCTAAAATTCCTGACCCACAGAAACTAAGAAAATACTTGCTATTTTAAACCACTAAGCTTTGGGATAACTTATACACTGTAATAGATAACTAACAGAATATTCAGTCTGAGGATCTGGTTTCTAACACCAGTAAACTGAAGCAAAATTCTTGTTAAGAAACGCCAAAACAGGAGTCCCATGAGATCCTTATATTACAAGTTTCCTAGATAAAGCTGACAAGAAATTGGAGTGGTGTAAAACTAAATTCTGGGATTTTGAACAAAATTATCTGAAGGGATGCCACTCTGGTCCAACAGCTACATTATAATATTTATGCATTTATAACAACATT